AAATCTAGTACTAATATTTTTTTGCGATAAAGTTTGTGTGACTTCTAATGAAGTTTTGTATAACATATTTACCAAGTTGAGAAGCAACATAATTCATTTCAGGGATCACAAAGCATTTAGTTACATCTAATAGTGCAGAATCTTTAGCTTACATCTCATGTCTATCAAATCAGGCGAACACAAGTATCAGAAATGAATCTTGGAATTTTGGAAGTTCCAAAAGATTAACAAGAATTCCTCAGAGCAGTGCATGTACATGAGAACAAGAAAAACTCACCACTACGCTAAGATCAACCACAAACACAAGCAAAACTAGGAGTTGTGTCAACCATCATTCAGAGGAGTCACTGAAACAAAATATATTTTGGAGGATATGGTGGTTTGCACACAAGCACTGATCCTGCCAAGAAAACATTAGATTTTGGATAAGTAGCATGCATGCAAGATAAAAGATTGTATACACCATGTTTACAACTTTGCATGTTACAAATGGTACTATAAAATTGGACAAGAGCTCCGACATCCAGAGAGAAGTAGGCTAGCTAGAGATGGCATAATAAAGTAGCCCCTATTTACAGTAAGCTTTTTAAGAAGTGGACATTAGCAAACAGTACATATTACTCAGAAACCAAAGTGAGCAACCTCTTCATCTTCCTCGGTTTCCTCCTCTGAGAACCTCAGATCCTCCATTGCATCTTCTTCCTCTTCCTCGTTATTCTCATCCATTTCAGGATAGTCCTTGTCCTTTAAGCCAGTGCTCAGCACCGCTGTCTGTCCTTGAGATGATTCCATGTCTCTCTGCAATCTCTCCATGTTCTCGCTCCTGCAGTATGCTTCTAGACGCTCCTTCTCAGCTCTTCGTTTGTCAAGATCAGCTCTGCAAGAGTACAGAGAATGGATTAAGTCCCAGTAAAGTCAGTTTCAGAAGCAAAATTGATCCAGGGTTTGTTATTACTTGTAGTTCTCCATATACTCTTTTGCACTTGCTTCTACTGCACCAAAAAAGGCTTCCATTCCAGCACCAGAAACTGCTGAAACTCCCACGGAACATGTATTTTTATAGAATTCATCAAGTGCTAGTGAGAGACTCCTCGATAAAGTTGACGTGTATGATGAATAGGTGTCTAGTGCTGCCTGAAATGCCTCAAAATCTTGCATCCACTAAATACAGGACAACAAAAATCATTACTTGTTGTGTAAGAATTAAAAAAAACACAAAAATACACACAAGTACCACAGTATTAGAAGTTGCTAAGCTTATGTAGAAGAAAAAACACTGAATTCCTCTTGATGACTCAATAATGATTTCCACAGAAATCTTAACCTCATTGGTTCATAACGGAATCTCAGTGTAGAAAGGTGTGATATGATTACACAATAATTTTCAAATCTCTGGCATCATCCAGTTACAGGTTTGCATCCAGAACACAGTACAGAAGTTTCTTTTTTTTAGACAGACCAAAGTATAGAAGTTGTTATGCTTATGTAGAAGGAAAGAAAACAATTCCATTTGATGGCTCGAGATATTAATTTCCCTAGAAATGTTAACCTTATTGGTCCATAATGGAGTGTTGGTGAAGAGAGGTGTGATATGATTATGCAATATTTCCCAATTTCCTGGCATCATTAAGTTAGAGGTTTACTCCAGACCACCACCGTCATGGTCTAATCCTTTGAAATTTTTAGGCATCATCTCTTTTTTGCATATTCAATAGGTGACAATAACACCATCTATGTGGAAGTTCTTAATTATGGCTACTGCTTGTGAAACCCTATGAATCACATGAAAGCAGGATACTCCAAATTTGGGGTTAGTCTCATATTTGTTTAATGAATTCCTCCAGGTTATAGTAACTAGCATTATTTTGCTAAATGGCCTCAGTAAACATTTATAATCTAGCATTTAATTATACTATCATTTCAGAAATCAGTTAACATGTCACCAGAAACTAAACAAGAATTACAGAAGAATGTCTCAATAACATCTCATAACTAGAACTCATTTGACTCTTTCCCATCTTCTGTATATTTTTCTCCAGCCTTCTATGTGTTACCAATGAACCCAGGTCAGTATGGTAGTTCCACCGCACAAAATGACTCTCTAATAAAAACAAACAGCAAAAGAAAAGCAGCTGCAAAGCAATTTGTGAACGACTTATTGTCAAACATATGCTTAATTTAAATTCTTTTCCTAAGAGACAAAACAGAAAAAAAAAACAAGTCCATAAAAGTATTCATCAGAAATCTTTAATGGCATGACTATCGAAATCTAAGAAGACTTATCATTAACATTAAGAACATACATATAATTTTTAATGAGCAGGTGTGAGATATATAGAGCAACTAACTCTATGACATAAAGGAAAGTTTGTATTTTGCGCAGAGTAGGCAAGTAGCAAAACCACATACTCCAAAATTTGTTTTCTAATGTTTCAGAGGATGCCAACAAAAAAATTCATGGCTCATGTCAACCGAGCACATTTGCTATACATGATAAAACAGAACAATCCATGACGAGGAAGAAGCAATACATTAGAAATTAATGTACCTCCAGAGCAAACTCATGTCTGGCTACATCAACCTTGTTAAATGTTAGGACTAAAGGTAACCTTGTCTTGTAAAGTATGCTACAAGCATACAGCATATTGCTCATGAAAGTTACTGGATTTGCAGCGCGAGGTGTGTCCACAACATAAGCAATTATCGTGGGAAATGTGGAAGCAAAGGCCTCGGTGATAATTGCTCCAGAAGCTGACCAAGTAAATACTTCAATTTGACCAGGGGTGTCCACCAGAACATAATCAAGCTGGTCAGCCCATCTTTCGATCGCCGATATTACCTACAAAACACGAAGACACACTTTCTACTACATTGCTAGGTGTGTGTGTGTATATATATATATATATATATAT